AGGATTCTACAAGCCATCAAAAAAGAGCTATTACCGGAAGTGACGTCTATTGATACTGAGCAACCTATTTGGATATTTGCTCCTGCATTATCGCGTTGAGTGCCGAAATTACTATGATCATTTAGTTAACAGTTCCTAAGACCTTCAAAAACGAACGAAAGCTTTGATATTTTTTTCCGTAAAAGATTTTCCGTATCCTGTGCAATCTTTGTTTTTGATGCTTATGGCCAATATCTATCTGTTTTTTTAAACTAAAATTTAGATCAAGCTTTGTTATTGTATATTCGCATATCTGTCGACCTTGAATCTGTATCTTGAGGTTTGTGTGCTACCTTCGGATTTTTGATTAGAAGGGTCTGGGTACAAGAACTTAGCTAACTCTAACTTTAATCAATATTCCTCTAGCACAGTAAGAAAATAGAGAAGACTGGGGTGAGCTACTCCCAGTCCTCTTTCTAAATCCTCTATCAGTCTTTTGCAGTCCTCTATTAGAGATGGCCTTAAAGGAGACTAATATTAGTTATATTTAGATTTAAGAACAAACCAAAATATTATATAGTACACAATGACACCGACTACCCAGATGACGCCACAAACGATAGATGCAATGCTCCATCTTTTGGCATTGTTGGAATAGTTTCGTGCTTGAGAAACATCTCCACGTAAAAGGGCCGAGTTAACCTGGGAACAGTGAAATGGTTTGTTATCAATAGAGGTCGCTTTTGGTGTCATGAGTGGATGATTGAGCATGAGGAGTAAAGTAGCTAGGGTTTGCCTGTAGTATCATTGTAGGCTAGTGATTTGATAGCAAGCATTACAATACTCTCTGGTTGATAGCACATGACGGGCAGTGTTTGCCTGTCATTGCAGACTGATATTGAGATTCACCTAGCTGCATGATTGATAGCAATGGCAAGCATTACTATACTCTCTTGCTGAAAGAACATGACGGGCAGTGTTTGCCTGTCATTGTAGGCTGGTAATAAGATTCATGAGATTTATTCTTATCAGCTGATCTATACCAATACTTAAGTGTTAGCTTTTCTTCCTTGGTTTTATTTCATTGTTAAATAGTACATATTTTAATCCGATTGTAGCATAGATATTGACATATTAAGTTTTACTTTCCTGCTATTACTCTGGATATAACTGTCATCAAGAGAAAATGAACTAAGAGAAGACCTAATCCCCGTGCCCCATCATGTGCACACTTTGATGCTATTTTTAGAATCATTGATGCTATTTTTAACACGTTACCATGCCCGGGCGATAATCATGCTTCCTTTAATGCCTCGTTTTAGGACACGAAAAGCGACAAAAATAACACAGGCTTTTGTTTACAGCAAGACTAGAAGCCGCCTACCCGGCCTCAAGAAATCAACCAATCAGGTCCTTCACTCAAAATATCTCAAAGCTAAAAATAGCATCAAACTGTGCACATGATGGTTACAAGGCTATATAGGGGGGATTCCTTCTCTTAGTTCATATTCTCTTGCTGTCATATATTCTGCTTACCTTAGAAGCATAAATGATTCCAATAATACCACAAATAGGACAGCAACAGAGGGTAGCGGTGACAGCAGTAGCCATGTTACTGCTAATCTGGATTGGAGGCTGAAAATGAAAGAAGACTTTTTCGTTACTCCGAATGAACCCCTTACGCGCAACCATCTTTATTGTTATGCAATTAATAATGCTGCCTTTATATAAACCAACTCAAGTTGAGAAAAAACTGATTTACAGTCAAACAAGTTCACGCGTTGACCCCTAGAGTCGATTAATGATTTGAATATTCGAATTTTGATTTCATTATTCGTTGAAATTTACAACGTTGAAAACGAAGATATGAAAATTCCAATCAACTTTAAATTCAATATACGACATTTTGATTGGTTAATCAATGCTAACACAGGAAGGCCAAGAAAACATGGCGGCCAGAAATAGTCTTGGCCGTGTTTATGTGCCGGGAAGGCCTTTATCTGATATTATTCGACAGGAAATTGTTCATCTCAGCAATAGCGGATTGTCCAATAAAGCAATTTCGCGACAACTGAAAATTTCTATTTGGGGAGTCCAGAAAATACTTCAACATTATCGACGACCTGGAACTGTGTTAATTTCGCTCAAGGCAGGAGCGTTCCCTACAAAATTACTGATGATATCCTCCAAGTAATTGAGGCATGGAAATTACAAAACCTAGTGTGTATGCTTATGAAATAAGAGAGCGACTTCTGCTGGAAGGTATCTGTAATTTATATGATTTACCTTCTTCATCACGAGTCGAATAATGAACTGAATTTTCATTTGAATATTGCAATATTGCATTATTCCGGTTCGTACGTATAAAA